GGATTTGGATACGTATGACTGAAGCTCTTATACATAAAGTGCCACTGTAGTTAAATTAAAATATCATAACATGAAATCCAAAATGTTCCCACACACCGGACTTATACCATAGACTTATACGACGCTGGCGCATCCTCCAACTCCCTCATCTCTCCCACTTGCCATTTCTCCGCGTGCCGTGACCTGCAGCGCTCCATACTCCACTTTTACTGGCTTGTTTATTAACTTGAACCGGCTGTTACGTTCCTCCTGATGGCTAATCCAGGGGAACGGAGGTGCAACAATATTTAAAAATGAACCAGGGCAAAAGAGGACAGGAAGTCAGACTAGAATGCAAACTGAAGTGTATTTATTACAAGATTGACAATAAAAACCACTTCAAAACTAGTCTCTCAGAAGGAGAGAGCAATAAACAGTGTAAGACGACAATAAACAGTATAAGACAACAATAAACAGGGTAAGACAACAATAAACTGACTTAATAACTGCAGTAACCAGATCAAACCCTATATGAACAGCTAGGTAGTCCTCTCTCCACCAAGGAGGCTAAGCCCCAGACACCGTTCTGGACTCACAAGGATCTAACTCAATGATCAACCCACTGGTTGACTGGATTTGTCTCTGTTCTGTTGGTCTGGCTGGTTGATAGTACTTTGCTCACAGACTGACTGGTTGGTTGGTTGGTTGGTGGTACTGTCACGTTGCAGGTTGGAACATCGAAGAAGGCAGGATCTAAATGCAGCAGCAGTAGTACTTTTATTAAATAAACCAAAGACTAGACATACTCAAAACCTCAGACACAGAGAACACGATCAACATCTAACAACATCAAGAACCCACAACCACTGTAACACGGCACATGGTTTAAATACAGAGACTAACAAGCTAAATGAGATAACAAGGGGCGTGGCATACATGAACACAAATGAGGAGCGGGAAAAAGGGAACAGGACTGAACCAAGTGCACAAAGATAGGGGGAACACAGATAGACATTATTACATAGCCCCCACTTAAGGAGCGGATTCCAGACGCTCAACACAGACAAACAAACAAAACTGTCCAGGTGGGCGGTGGAGCGGAGGCGAATCTGGGGGTGGGATGGAGGGCCAGGTCCGTGGAGCAGAAGAGGAGCAGGCGACCAAAGCGCATCAGGCTGAGCAGGCGACCTGGGCGGAGCAGGCTGTGCAGGCGAAGGCCAGGGCGGAGCTGGACGAGGCGAAGGCCAGGGCGGTGAAGACCCCTCGGGCGGCCACGGCGGTGAAGACCCCTCGGGCGGCCACGGCGGTGAAGACCCCTCGGGCGGCCACGGCGGTGAAGACCCTCGGGGCGGCCACGGCGGTGAAGACCCCTCGGGCGGCCAGGGCGGTGAAGACCCCTCGGGCGGCCAGGGCGGTGAAGACCCTCGGGCGGCCAGGGCGGTGAAGACCCCTCGGGCGGCCGTGGCTGGGACACTGGGCTCCCCCAAAAAAATATTTGGGCTGAGTCCCCGGATTGGGGACAGACGGGGCGTGGACCGTCTCTCGCTGGACGGGCTGGACGGTCTCTGGCTCGGGCTGGACGGTCTCTGGTTCGGGCTGGACGGTCTCTGGTTCGGGCTGGACGGTCTCTGGCTCGGGCTGGACGGTCTCTGGCTCGGGCTGGACGGTCTCTGGCTCGGGCTGGACGGTCTCTGGCTCGGGCTGGACGGTCTCTGGCTCGGGCTGGACGGTCTCTGGTTCGGGCTGGACGGTCTCTGGCTCGGGCTGGACGGTCTCTGGCTCGGGCTGGACGGTCTCTGGCTCGGGCTGGACGGTCTCTGGCTCGGGCTGGACGGTCTCTGGCTCGGGCTGGACGGTCTCTGGCTCGGGCTGGACGGTCTCTGGCTCGGGCTGGACGGTCTCTGGCTCGGGCTGGACGGTCTCTGGCTCCGGCTGGACGGTCTCTGGCTCGGGCTGGACGGTCTCTGGTTCGGGCTGGACGGTCTCTGGCTCGGGCTGGACGGTCTCTGGCTCCGGCTGGACGGTCTCTGGCTCCGGCTGGACGGTCTCTGGCTCCGGCTGGACGGTCTCTGGCTCCGGCTGGACGGTCTCTGGCTCCGGCAGATCGGTCGCTGCGGCAGCCATCTTGTCCAGACACACCGGCTCAGCGGTGGCCATCCTTGGAATGAGGGCTAATGTGGCAGTACCACGTTTCTTGTCCATTATCCCTACAACATATTTTGAATCACTCAGTTGCAGGGCCAAGCCAATATAAAATCCTATTGTGCCTTGAGGGGGATGCAGTGGCATGATTGACGCGAGTGGCTCTGATAGTCCCCCTCTAAAAAATATCATGAGGCACAGAGGGTCAATAGGAGTCACATTTGCCAGATCGAGGAAATCCTGTACATACTCCTCAATGGGCCGGTCTCCTTGACGGAGACACATAATCCGTGCAACTGGATTCCTGGAGATCATTGCTGCTGGATCCAAGTTAGCGGTGGGTTCTTCTGTCACGTTGCAGGTTGGAACATCGAAGAAGGCAGGATCTAAATGCAGCAGCAGTAGTACTTTTATTAAATAAACCAAAGACTAGACATACTCAAAACCTCAGACACAGAGAACACGATCAACATCTAACAACATCAAGAACCCACAACCACTGTAACACGGCACATGGTTTAAATACAGAGACTAACAAGCTAAATGAGATAACAAGGGGCGTGGCATACATGAACACAAATGAGGAGCGGGAAAAAGGGAACAGGACTGAACCAAGTGCACAAAGATAGGGGGAACACAGATAGACATTATTACAGGTACTCTGTTCACAGAGGTTTCTCTTTGAATGACTGATTGGTAGTACTCTGCTCACGGACGTTTCTCTTGCTCTTGCAGTGTGCAAACCCAAGCCTTCTTATCCTCCAGGAACTGAGCATTCATTGGGAACACCTGCTGCCACACACTCAGTCAGTTGATTAGGCACACCTGCTGGTACTCACTCATGGACCCTAAACATGCAGCCTGAAAGAGAGAAGGAAAAAACACAACCCAACCCAACACATATCCCCTAGGATTGTAACACCGGCGCTGCACAGAGCGATCGGTAATGACATCAAATACCGCGAAAGTGATGAATGCATACGGAGCCGACTCGCGCTAGATTGATGTTATTCACCGATCGCTCTGTGCAGCGCCGGTCCAAGTCGAACAAGTTTATGTCGCGCGAAAAGAAAACACACGTCACATACGGGCACGAGGTTACATTGCGCATGCGTCGAACCGTGAGACGCACACGCGCTCCGAACCGAGACAAGCGAACCGAACGGTTCGGGTGTTTTTTCATGTACCGTCACCCCTAATATATATATATATATTACATTAAAAGAGAATATGAAAACACTATCTTTATATAAATTAAAGATGGTAATGAAATTACAGGCCCGTGACGTTGCAGTTTTGTTGCCAGTAAGTCATAAAATTACCACGTTATTACGATTAGAGTACATATCTGCGACGTTGTTGGTTATTTTAAAACCTTACGAGGACATACTGATGACTTTGTAGTTTGGTCATATATGTTAATAAAATTACAGGCATGCGACGTTGTAGTTACGTTGCCAGTGAGTCATAAAATTACTAAGTAATTACGATTAGAGTACGTATCTGCGACGTTGTTGTTTATCAACCTTAGGAGAACGTACTGACAACGTTGTGGGTTGGTATGATGGTAGTGAAACGACGTTGTAGTTACATTGTCAATTGGTAAAGTCATGACGTGACCAAAAAGTATGTATATATAAAAAGTATACATTACGTAACTGCAAGGGCGTAACTTTGGATCTATGTATTATTTGGATCTATGTAACTTTGGATCTATGTATTGGAGCTAGCTCTATGTATTTTTTTTATCTTGTCAATCAGAATAAGAGAAACCCTAAAGTTGTCTTTGATGTTATTCAGAATATTGTTTCACCCTCAACTCCACTGGTGCCTGTTTTCACCACTGATGACTGCAACAAATTTTTAAAATACTTTGTATATAAGGTGAATGAGATTAGAGCAAGTGTAAAACCATCTGATGAGAGCACCATTGTTGTAGCTACTCCAAATTGCTCCTGGACTAGATTTTCTGCTGTCTCATTAGATGATGTCATGGTCTTACTTAAAAAGATGAAGCCATCATCATGCCCATTGGATATATTACCAACTTCCTTGTTCTTTAAAATGATTGATCTTTTTGCTCCTATTGTTGTCAAAATTATTAACACTTCACTTTCCACTGGGACCGTCCCAAACTTGTATAAACAGGCAGTAGTAAGCCCCATTTTAAAAAAAGTTCAATTTGGACCCTGCAGAGCCTTGTAACTATAAGCCAATATAAAAGTTATGGAGAAGGTAGTAGCAGCTGAGCTGACATCTTAAAACTAAGACATCTTAAGACACTGTTATTTAGACAAGCCTTTAGTTAACTGGGTTTTATTTAGGGCTTTTTAAATGTTGTAATTTTTACTGACTGTATACTGTTTTATTTTGTGATTGCACTTTGTAAAGCACTTTGTGATTTTATCTGTGAAAAGTGCTCTATAAATAAACTTAACTTACTTACTTACTTGGGTCTACCATTGGGGAGGAGGGGGGGTTTAACTAGCAGCATATTTATTAATTTATTTATTAATTCAATAATTTTCTTGTGCAAAAGGTAACATGCTAATTTGCCGTTCATGTATTAGAAATACATTGTGATACTTTTACTGATTCAGGCTACTTGCATGAAAAGCATGCAAGCATGTACAAGTCTTGATTGGAAACAAAGCATCTAAGCTCCGACTCTAGAGACACATCCAACACATGAAAAAAAAGAATTATAAACTAGTTCATTATTTGGAACTGTAAACTTAGTTCAAAATTGTGATGTATGAACTGAACTAGTTCATTTTAAAATTTGTGAACTGAACTTTAAACTAGTTCATGTAAAAAAGTGAACTTTCCCAACACTGTTGATAGAAATGAATGTGTTTACTGTACAGGTAGAATATCAAAAGAGAGTAATTAAATCTTATTTCTGTTGCCAGGACAATGTGGATCTGGGGGATTTGATGTTTTCTCTATGCTACCTGCCCACTGCCGGACGGCTGACCATCACCATGATCAAAGCACGAAATCTGAAAGCCATGGACATCACTGGAGCTTCAGGTATGAGTTCACACTCCGATTACAGATTAGATTACAGATTAGTTTAAAATAACGTATATTACAATATTTTACAATATAACAGAATAGAGTGCCGAAGTGATGACGTCACTTTGTAGGACAACTCGGAAGCTAGCGGCACATGGGTTCCCTCGATCAAAAAGCTATGCATTTTCCCCATAGACTTTTGGAAAATCGCTAAAAATAAGATCTGTGTTGTGAACCCTTACACCTTTTGTCTTTCAAGATAATCTTTACAAGTTAATCCAAAATGTATACATTTTGAAGCCTATATAAAGTTAAAAAAAAAAAAAAAAAACACAAGCAGACACAATAAAGTTTTAAAAAACACAAGCAGGTTATAACTGTGTTCTATGTCATAGATCAAAACGTGAAAATATCTAGAGGCTTTGTTCACCACAGACCTTATTTCAGGCAATTTACCAAAAACCCATTCAAAAAGCCCATAGACTTTAGAGCGAGGGAACCAGGAGTGCTAAAATGCTAACTCACTTCTGCGTTTTGGCCTACAAAGTGACGTCGTAACTTCGGCACTCTATACTGTAGTTTTGGAACTTATGGTATGATAAGTAAGAGGCTCTCTTATAGGTAAAGTTTAAAGTTCATGAATAAAGAGTGTTTAAACACCCCACTGCAAAGCATATGACAAAAAAAGTTCACATTTGTATAAATGCATGTAATAAATATGACTTCGGTTAATTCTGATTTTTAAACAATAAATTCAGAAAGATCAAAAATTATGCCTGTAGTCAAAGGGGGTGTTTATATCTGGCCACTTCATGCGTTTTCTCAGATCAGATAGCTACCTTTCTATTCACTGTGTTTATAAAATATCTTCTTATTACAGTTTTTTTCGATTGCTTAAGCACAATTTTGAAAACAGGGCCCGGTTTGTCAAAACACTACACACGATTAACACAACCCTACACCAAAGTAGCACAACACTTCAGATCATTTGCAAAATGGAACACTTTTGTCAAAACTATTCAACGTCTTATAAAAACCTTATGTTGCTGTCATAACATAAACACAACCATCATATGGTTTGACTCTGTTTGAATCAGTTAAACACTCCTGTGCTCAACCTAAAACACTTTTAGCATTTACAGAGAAAGTGAAAGAATAAATTCACCAACACCACATGAAACAAATTTTGCAGACTAATGAAAATATTTATTTCTTTTCATGTACTGAACTTAGTCAATACTGAACATTTCAACAACAAATTTTTTTTCCAGTTTTCATAGCATCACTGAACGTACCATTGTACTGTAAGCTTACAGTAATACTGTAACAAATTACATATGAAGAGTTCAGATGCAAAAGCCTCTAAATGCCATTTGAAATTTTCTTCTAAAATGACCATTTTTATCAAGCTTGTATATTTAAGTTCAGTAATTTCACTTAAATGACATTTAAGTGAAATTACTGAACTTAAATATACAAGCTTGATAAAAATGGTCATTTTAGAAGAAAATTTCAAATGGCATTTAGAGGCTTTTGCATCTGAACTCTTCATATTCAGTTTTGTACTAATCTCTCCGCCTAGCTGGTTCTGGCCATTCAGTTTTGTACTAATCTCTCCGCCTAGCTGGTTCTGGCCACAGGGCCTCGTAAATGGTAAATGGTAAATGGACTGCATTTATATAGCGCCTTCATAGACCTAATGGCCACCAAAGCGCTTTACATTTGCCTCACATTCACCCATTCATACACTCATTCACACACCGACGGCGGTGTCAGCCATGCAAGGCGCCATCCAGCTCGTCGGGAGCAGCTGGGGTTAGGTGTCTTGCTCATGGACACCTCGACACTTGGTCAGGTGGAACCGAGGATTGAACCACCAACCTTTCGGTTCGTAGACAACCCACATGAACCACTGAGCCACTGCCGCCCCAACGCCCCAACACAGGCTATATTTTCATTTGCAAGGCAACGTGGGAAGAATCTTTTCGAGTGACGAATCCAGCCTTGTATGGATGCTGCTTCAATTTCATCACATGCTTCCTCCATAGCTTGAATGAGGGGCATCTGGACATAGTGCCGGAGATCATATACCTTTCACCGCCATGTTGAGAAGAACTCCTCGATGGGGTTTAGGAAGGGGGAGTATGGTGGAAGATACTGAACTGTAAATTGTGGGTGTTGATGAAACCAGTTTTGGACCTGAGCAGAACGATGGAAAGCTACATTGTCCCAGATGACAATGTATTGCATCTGGTCCCTTAGGTTTGCGGCTGTGATAATATCGTGTAATCGGTCTAAAAATGTAAGAATGAGGACAGTGTTGTAAGGACCCAAGTTGGCATGGCGGTGGATGACCCCATTCTGTGTAATGGCAGCACAAAGGGTAATGTTACCCCCACGTTGCCCTGGTACATTTACAATAGCCCTGTGGCCAATGATGTTTCTTCCCCTTCTTCGCACTGTTGTCAGGTTAAATCCAGCCTCGTCAATGTATATAAACTCATGCGGGACTTCCTCCGCATCCATTTGCAAAACTCTCTGAAATACAGCAAAAGATCACATTGTGTAGATCAATATACTTTAGGTCTGCTATATAGTAAAATTACATGTACAGTAAAAAGGTTATGTGTGCAGTACACAATACTACAGTCAGTGAACTAAACGTACCACCACATATTCACGTCGCAGGACCTTCACCCTGTCTGAATTTCTTTCAAATGGCACTTTATACAGTTGTTTCATCAGAACTTGATGTTTTTTAAGGATACGGGCTATTGTTGACAAAGAGACCTGTTGGACATTATTGAAAATGAGGTGATCATTGACAATATGGGCTTGAATTTCTCGAAGTCTGATTGCATTATTGGCCAAAACGAGGTTTATGATCTCTCTCTCTTGCTCCTGTGTGAATATGGGGCCCCTCCCTCCTTGGTGCTCACGACGTTCAATCCTATGTTGGTCAAACAAAATACATAGCTTACTGTTACTGTAAATGATACATGCAGTAACCAATGGATTTTCTATTGATTGAAGAGAAGTTTCTCACCTGTGCTCTTGACGAAATGTCCGAACTATTGATGCCACCGTGTACCTGCTTAGGTTAGGCTGTACTCTCAGTCCAGCCTCCCTCAGTGTTAGTCCGTGGTTTATTACATGGTCCACAATTGTTGCACGAATGTCATTACACAGATTTGGTTGTCTTCTTCTTTGTGCTACCTCTTCTCCAGGTCTTCCTCTCCCTCTCCCTCTTCCTCCTCCTCCTCCTCCTCCACCTCGTTCTCTCTGGATTCCCCCTCTCATCCGCACTCTCCCTCTTCCTCTTCCTCTAACACCATCCATTTTGAAGACAAGTGAACTTACCTGTTGCCTTTTTATAGTACTTCAACCTGATTGGTGTGTGTACAATTAAGCCTCAGTGTGTGTGCACACCTGGTGGCTGTGTTTAACCAATTGGTTCAGGGGTGTGTTCATTTGAAAGCCTTTGCTTTGAAATTGCAAGGAAATGACATCATGATAAATGTCTGTGTCAAATGCATACAAGTGTGTTTAGTGTTTTGCAAATCACTGTGTGTAATGTTTTGCAAAAAGTGTGAAGCTGACAATGTGCTTACAGTTGTGCAAATCTAGGCCGGTGTTTTGCTCCTTGAGTGTAAGGTTTTGCTTATTGTGGGAAAGTTCTAATTTTAGTGTGTAAGCAATCGAAAAAAACTGTAAACGGTCTGTACACTTACAAAGTTCTCAATGCTTTGTTTTGCATGTAGGGACCCTCATTATGTTACTGTGTTAGTGTGGGGCTATTTTGAATGCCCCTATATACTAGCGTTTACGCTAAACAGTTTTTAGAGATAAAACTCTTTTATTTCAGAGAACGGTCAACTAGGTACCAATGTGTAATTAGACCAAAGGTTCATTTTGCGCCGGAGTTCTCCTTTAAATGTAAATTATGAAGTAACTTATTTTTCACTTTCCACTTTGAATCTTTTCCTAGACCCTTATGTGAAAGTTTCTCTGATGTGTGAAGGTCGAAGACTGAAGAAAAGGAAGACCTCCACCAAGAGGAACACATTAAACCCTGTGTACAATGAAGCTATAGTGTTTGATGTCCCTCCAGAGAACATTGACCAAATCAGCCTTCTCGTAGCTGTTATGGACTATGATCGGTGAGAATATCACAAATATTTTTTTGTTAATGTTAATGTGTCCTTTCTGTCCAGCATAATTACCTGAACATGATTGCTTTGTTGCTATTATTTATTTATTTGCTTCTGATTTATTTGATTTTTAAGCACTCTTACCAGTTTCAAAAGCAATCTGTGACGAAACAGGCCAATGAGCGTTTGATATCACTGCCGTATATTGTTTTGATTTGGTTTTCACTCTGTTTGCTCTGTTCCCATTCTCCTTATGCCTGATACATATTACGTGATTTCGGCAATCTGAAAGATCATTGCAAATCACACTGTATGACATGTACGTAGACTGTACAATGATGACACCTTTTGAATCAAAGGCTACGATGCAAGTTATAGAAGAAAAAAACGTCATCTGCAAATTCTAATGGTAAACAAATAGAGCAAGATGAGTCCCACTTTGGCCAATTTTGCAAATGGAGCGGTAACACTTTACAATACGGGTGCACTAACATGCATTAATTCATGCTTAACTAATGCATAGATAATCATGAATTAATGTATAACTCATGAAGAGAGAAACCATTAATTAATGATTACTGCATCAGCAACTAATAAAGAGTATATTATTAATAGATTAAGTAATACATGAATTGCCATTAATTCAATGTGTCATTGTGTATTAATTCCTTAATAACATATTTTATTAACTAATAGTGTAAATTAATGTGTTAATTACCACAATTAGTCTTCAACTTCCAGTTGTCTGCTTTAATTAATCATTAGTTAATGATTTTCAAAGGTATCATTATGTTATGACTTTACTTGTTGAGGCACGTCATTATTAACTAGTAATTTAGTAATTGTAGTAATTTGTACATGAATTTGCACTAACAATGAAGTAATTAATCATGTATTAATGCATATTAGTGTACCTGTCATATTATCTGGAAGTTGAAATACAAGGCTTTGGCTCATTCTAGTAATTATCATATTAATTAACACTATTAGTTAAAAAATGAGTTATTATTGAATTAATTCACAATTAAATATTTAATTTATAACAATTCATGTATGAACTAATACATTAACCTTACAGTCTCTTAATTAGTTCCTAATGAGGTAATCATTAATGAATAGTTTAGATAATCATTAGTTATACATTAATTCAGTATTATATGTGCATTTGTTAAGCATGAACTAATGCATATTAGTGCACCCATATTGTAAAGTGTTACCAAAAGATTGGGGTAAATGGTTTTAAGTTTAAAATGTGTCGCGTTGATCAATATGTCATTTCATGTTACATATTTATTGGCCAATCAGTAGACGTAGGTCGTATTAGCAAACACACTGTGAGATGATCATGCTACATTTTCTGACACTATCAGAAAATTATCGCAGGCTATCTTTGGTAGCAAGACCATGTCAATGGCCATATTTGAACATCCTTTGAACACCCACTGTACAACTGGACTACCGTTTAGGAGCCACGAGCACAGAAATCGCTGTTTCCATAGTTTCCATAAGTCATAATTCCACACACCTTTTCAGTTTCTCTTTTAATTATGTTCTCTGTGTATATAAACCCCGAGTTTCCCTAGTATATGTTGCTGTGTTTGAGTAATTATCCCAGTTTTCTACAGCAATCTTCTCAGTTATTATTAATTAAAGATTATCTTGATCTTATGTTAATTACTCCTAATCTCCCAATTACTCCTTAAACAATTTTCAATAACTTTCTCCAGCACCAACAAGTTACACCTGGGTCAGCATTTTTTGAATTCATATTGAGTGAGGGATTTGAAGTCTGAATAATTTTAATTTGTTGACTGAGAACTCAAATTTATTTTCTGTGGTAATCAACAACATTCAACGGCATTTCTTCTTTACACTTTACATTCAAGTCTCTTAGGCTCTTCACACTGCAGGGCTTAATGCTCAATTCCGATTTTTTGAAAAAATGCGATTTTTTTGCAAGGCCGTTCACATTTCCAATTAAATGCGACCTTTTGTGATCTCCTGTGTGAACGTGAAATGACCCAGAAGTGACCCGCATGCGCAGAAGAGTAATCAACGGTCCAAGACGTCACTTGTTGTTTGCAGAATAGTTCTTTTTTTCATATGTTGCGAGCTTTTGTTTTATTATTATTATTGCCACAGCCCATATACAAACACAGACAATAATTATTTTATCGACGGTCAGTTTGCACATAAATGTAAGATTTTTCCGATCCTCACCGACCTCGTCATAAAACCCGTTTAATTGATAGTGCGTGTCCGCGGCGCTCCTTGCTTTGTCACCGGCGGCCGCGGTGTTGCCAGATTGGGTGGTTATTCGCTACATTTTAAGGCATGTTTACATGTGTTTTAGCCTGGTTTTCGCTTGGAAGGCTCTATATCTGGCACCCTACTGTACAAAGTTATACTGACAGAGAGCGCACGTTCACATACACCAGAATGAACGTGTTCACAGTAATGTTCATCAGGCAGTAATACAGTATGTTTATTTCGGGCGAACGTAAATAATATGATACGCGAAAATATGAACGCGTTCATGCACTATCGTTCATTGAACGCGTTCAGGCACAACACTGGGGAAGAAACACGTCTGCAGTGGCCCATAACAGTGAGGAAACGTGTTGGAGTTAGCGTGTATTGGCTAGCTACAGGTGCGTGCAATGACGTGCGGGTCGGATATATGTGACCTGGCCGTTCAGATTGAAGTCGCATTTCAAAAGATCGGATACATATCGGATTTAGACCACATACCCAAGTGGCCTGGGTCGCATTTGAAAAGATCGGATCTGTGTCGTTCAGACTGTCATGAAAAAAATCAGATACAGGTCGCATAGGGGCAAAAAAATCGGAATTAGGTCGTTTCAGCCTGCAGTGTGAACGTAGCCTTAGTTTTACATTGGGGTTTGAATGCTGTTGTACTTTTAGTCAATGTGACACAATGTGCAACATGTAACAAATACAATGCAAATGAAGTCTTATACAATATTTTATTGAACATTTTTAATTACTAACCAGGGCTCCAGACTGTGACCAAATTATCGTAATTTGCGACCATGTTTTCATTTTCCTGCCAGTTGGACAACATTTTGAAATAGGTTGCGCTGGCGAAACCTCTACACCACATCAAATGACAAATGCAATGAACGTGGAATAAAACTGCACTACTCATTTGTATTTCACAGGCCGTTTATCAGTTTCGACCATTAATAGACAGCGCAGTGTGAGCAACTCACAATTATCACGAGTTTCGCTGTTTGATCTCGATCATGCGAAACCATTACTATCTAGTGATGAAAGCCATTGAATTCGCCACAGAATTAATAACATCGCTGTGAGATCTTCTGAGAAGCATTCAGATTTGGCGCAGTTGTGCAGGACCTCCACCTCCAGCATCTTCATCTCCAAGATCATCTGAGACTAGCCACCCGGAAAGCTGCTGCAACAATTGGTTTGCATAACCAAAGAATTTCTGCACTAACTGTCAGAAACCGTCTCAGGGAAGCTCATCTGCATGCTCGTCTTCCTCATCGGGGTCTCGACCTGACTGCAGATTGTTGTCATAACTGACTTGAGTGGGCAAATAATAACAATAATTAATAATTCATTACATTTATATAGCGCTTTTCTCGGCACTCAAAGCGCTTTACATAGAAGGGGGAATCTCCTCAACCACTACCAGTGTGCAGCATCCACCTGGATGATGCGACGGCAGCCATAGTGCGCCAGAACGCTCACCACACACCAGCTTACTGGTGGAGAGGAGACAGTGATGAAGCCAATTGGTATAGATGGAGATGATTAGGAGGCCATGATGGACAGAGGGCACTGGGCAAATTTGGCAAATTCGAAAAATACTCTTTCGAAAGACATCCTGGGATTTTTTAATGACCACAGAGAGTCAGGACCTCGGTTTGACATCTCATCCGAAGGACGGTGCTCTTTGACAGTATAGTATCCCCATTACTATACTGGGGCATTAGGACCCACACAGACCACAGGGTGAGCACCCCCTGTTGGCGTCACTAACACCTCTTCCAGCAGCAACCAGGCTTTCTCAGAAGGTCTCCCATCCAGGTACTAACCAGGCTCAGCCCTGCTTAGCTTCAGTGGGCAACCAGTCTTGGGCTACAGGGTGATATGGCTGCTGGCTCAAATGCTCACATTCGATGGCATCTGGTACTTTGGAGAGGTGTTCTCTTCACAAATGAATCATGGTTTTCACTGTACAGGGCAGGTGGCAGACAGCGTGTATGGCGTTGTGTGGGTGAGCAGTTTTCTGTGTCAACGTTGTGGATCGAGTAGCCCTTGGTGGCAGTGGGGTTATGGAATGGGCAGGCATATGTTGTGGACAATGAACACAGGTGCATTTTTTGATGGCATTTTGAATGCACAGAGATACCGTGACAAAATTGTTGTGCCATTCATCCACGATGTTCACCTCATGTTGCAGCATGATAATGCTTGGCGCCATGTTGCAAGGATCTGTACACAATTCCTGGAAGCTGAAAATATCCCAGTACGGACGCACGCTTCAATCTGTTGCGGAGAGACTCTCTATATTTGTTATGGTGAAATCATAAAACCTATGCACAAAAAAACATGTCTCTGCTTGATATACAACTACTAATAAACAATCGGTTTTGATGAGGAAAAAAACTATACTTAGTGCGGATAAACTCGATAAACTCGAGTACCAATAAACTCTGTCACAATTAGCCACGCACTTCCTTGGTTATTACGGACTCAATTTCCCATCATGCACCTCCCTGGACTGATTACAGAATACACCTGCACTGTGCTGATTACACACACACCTAGACCTCATGTTCTAACACTATTTAAGCCACACTCACACAACACTCTGGGCTAAGTCTTGTTTTGCTGCTGCAAACATTTCTAAGCATTTTTCCATGTGTTTACCTGCCTGTTCCTGATCTTCTGCTCGGTTCCTGTATCCTGTTTGTTTGCTGCCTGCCCTGATATCCTGCCTGTTTTTTGACCACAATTTTGCCTGATCTTCTCTGTTGAGTTTGCTGTTGTATGACCCTGGCCTGGTGACTACTCTGTTTAATAAAGACAAGCTGCATTTGGATCTGAATGACTCCTATGCTTCATAACAGAAGACTTAGCCAAAAGATGGATCCAGCAGCCATGCCACCCCTGTGCCCAGATGTTCAGATCTTGTGTCTTCGTCAAGGAGATCGTCCGATCGAGGACTTGGTAAGAGACTTTCTGGAGCTGGCTCATCTCACTCGTATGGACGATTTATGTTTAGCGATCATTTTCCGCGGGGGTTTATCTAAACCGATTCGGTCGTTGATGCCCAACCATGATCCTCATGGGACGGTACACCAGTATATCGACCTGGCCCTTTTTCTGAGCAGTTCAGCTTTTACTGTGGGCTTGGCGGATGAAGAACCTGCAGTACCCCCTAAGCCTAAATTCCTTCATGTCAGTTCCGCTGAGACTGACCTGCCGGAGCTTATTCCTGCCGAGCCCTCATTTCACATCAGCCACGTCCAGCCAGAGCTTCACGTCAGCCACGCCCAGCCAGAGACTGTTCACGTCACGTCTGCCCAGCCAGAGGCTGTTGTGCACGTCACGTCTGCCGAGTCAGAGACGCTTCACGCCACTTCTACAGAGCCAGTGTCTACGGACAAGATGGCCAATCCAGAGTCTGTTCATGTCACTTCCTCCGAGCCAGTGTCTACGTACAAGATGGCCGATCGACAGTCTGTTCACGTAACTTCTGCCGAGCCAATGTCTACGGACAAGATGGCCGATCCAGAGTCTGTTCATGTCACTTTTGCCAAGCCAGAGAAGCTTCACGTCACTTCTACAGAGCCAGTGTCTACAGACAAGATGGCCGATCAAGAGTCTGTTCACGTTCCTTTTGACTACTACTGTTCCTGAGCCCGAGCCAGCGTCTGTTCCTGAGCCAGAGCCAATGTCTGTTCCAGTGTTGTGTCTGTCCTTGTGGCCGTTTCTGAGCCAGTCCCGAGCCAGTTGTGTGTGTTGTCTGTTCCTGAGCCCGAGCCAGCGTGTGTGTTGTCTGTTCCTGAGCCCGAGCCAGCGACTGTTCCTGAGCCAGAGCCAACGTCTGTTCCTGTGTTTGTGTCTGTCCTTGTGGCTGTTTCTGTTCTGGTGTCTGCTGTTCCTGAGCTGGTGTCTGCTGTTCCTGAGCCGGTGTCTGCTGTTCCTGAGCAGGTGTCTCCCGAGGGGTCGTCACCGCCACGGCCGCTGGCACGTCCTGCTCCACCTTGGTCGTCTGCAGATCCTGCTCCGCCCTGGCGACACGCTTGTCAAAAGTTCTATCACTGGATTATTAAAGTACATGGGGATAGTAGACAGATCTATGTATTTAATCACGTGAAAATTCTCACCACTAACAACATACATATTAGATCTCATTAACTGACAATTAATAGTGTACAGATAGTATTGTGTTACCAGAATGTCAAGATGTTGGAAAACTGGAGCCCTGGGAACTTAAAATAAAACTGCACTTTGTAATTTCTGTCTGTTTATTACCAAGTCATTTGTCAGTATTGCAGGCAAAATGGAAAATGTGAATAACTGCATTTCCAGTTCATTTAAAGTGTGCCCCTACATTTTCTGCCTGTTCCCCTAAAATTTTCAGTAAGGGACTACATTGCTCCCAGTAAAAAAAAAGCCAATCTAACATTAACAAACATGAATCAATTCTGTAAAAAATGTATTGTTAATGTTAGCCAATGCATTGACTGATGTTAACTAATGGTATTGTAAAGAGTACTCAAAAAATGATTGTTTTTCTTGTTTTACATCAATTTAAAACTAAGTGTAATAATATTATTATATTAAGTATTTAATATACTGTATTTAATAATGTAAATGTATTATAGTACAGTATATATACGGTATACAAACATTTTTAATTTGATCTTCATGAAGGGGTATGTATGTGATTATTATTGATGTGGCTTAGGATATATGGGTGTTTTCACACTAATCAGTTTGTGACACCAACCTTATCACACTGTGGTACCCAACCTTGGACTACCTTTAGGAGGGGATCTGAGTTCAGATGCACTGGAACTATGGTGCGATTCCAGTGAATATGAAAGTATATGAAATAATGTAGGTGGTCATGATTTATCTTGGATAAGAGTGAGCGTGAGCATGCAGTGTTGTCATGCATAATAAGTGCAAGCTGAGTAGCAAATGAATGGCTCATTATCAGCTGTCTCAAAAGTGTCAGTTTGCTAGCAAGAGAAAGCTGCCTCCATGCGACACACATACAGTAGATACAAATGTTCACTCTACTTTTCATAATACCACCAAAAAAAAACCCCACACAGTATATTGAACTGTGCTCGTTTGTGATGAATGCTAATGAACCAGTGTTCGATAAATTCCGATTTGGACCACTGCAAACAAGGCCAGTTTGAAAATCCCCTAAGACAGACATGTTTTTTGTAGAATATTTCTGCAAGGAGTAGTCTTGCGAAGTAAACAGAGAATTTCACTGTTTCTTTTCACAGTGTAGGTCACAATGAGGTCATTGGTGTGTGCCGAGTAGGTAATGATGCCGAGGGTTTGGGAAGAGAACACTGGAATGAAATGCTGACTTACCCACGCAAACCCATCGCACACTGGCATCCTCTCATCGAGGTAAGAACACATGGACATCCTCGAATTTAATACTTATTTGTGCAACAGGCCTAATATACCAGGCATGAAAGTGAATGTCCCAAATACAGAATTCCAATTTTAAATATGAAATTATAAAAACTGTGATTTGTTTGATATTCTGTTTAAATCCCTTGTATAGTTTTACAAAGACAGCAGGTATCTTTTCAATGTACTGTATATAACTTTTTCATTGGGTGCATGTTTTTTTTTTGTTTTGTTTTTTTTTTTTTAACAAAGAAATTAAATCTTCCAGATAACGTAAATGTAGACTTTTATATGGCAAATACTTTGGATTTTGCTGCAGGGTAGGGCTGGGAATCGATTCCAAAAAGAATCGATTCCGAGGCGTTAGGAATTGAGAGTCGATTCCAAAGGTTGGAAACGATTCCATTAACGGGAATCGACTCCTCCTTTGAGATTTTTTTTTAACACAAACCGCTTTTCATTTGTCAACACAATCACGGCACCTGTAAGTAAATAAAGTTCAGACTAAATAAATGGATCCATTCTTGACACAGAGTATGATTTAGGGCAATCAGTGTAATGACTGACTCAATGAAATCTTTAGAATCGGTTCCAGGGTTTTATCTTACTCGTTGTAATTTAGGACAAGTAATAAATCTGATTTATGAAATCAGTCGACAGAAATCAATCGCACTCACGCGATGAAGAATGCCTCCAAGCAGTAGCGGTTCTAGGCACGGGCGAACCGGGCAGTCGCCCGGGGCGGCATTTCTTCATGTTACATGGGGGGCGGCACGAGCAGTTAAAAAAAATCCTCTGTGCCGCGAAGTTTTTCTATTTTTTATCATTTCGATTCAATTATTGGCAATGGCGCCCTGCTTGCTGAGAAGGTGCCGTGCGCAGAAGCGAGGGGATCAAGGGGATCTCCTGATTAGTTCACGTATCGGTCGTTATTTCAAATCCTCTGTTTCAAATAGGCGCACGGGAAGCGTGCTCATAAACTTTTCAGTATGGGAGTGCACGTGCACCCAAACACTTGGGTGTTTTTTTTCTCTTCTCCATAAATAAATCTTTTAGCAGAGCTACAGCAAGCGTTTTTCTGTGGTGGAAATACATTAGCTACTAAAACTTCTTTGTCGCTGGAGAGCGCAGTGTAATGAGTGCATGGTTCTCTTACGAGAGGTTCTCTCGTATTGCGTAAGCTAGCTTACGCTACGGGAAAGATTCATCTTTGCTGAGAAGTTGAAGCCAAAAAATTATTCCAGAATTTTGTAATCATTGTCAACGCAGTCTCTTCTGAGGCAGACCATGAGCGGGCTAGCTAGCGGCTCATTGGTTCGCTCAGAGAGAATGCACGAACCTATGGGAGAGCGGCGCTGAGTCCGCGGCCAATGAGCGGACGGCGCTCGCTCACTGCGTCACAGCCCGCCAAAAGGGGCGTGGCTACAGTGTATAAAGGTCGCTCTCCCAGCTCGTTCGTTGATTCTTTTTCATTCAGCGAGCTACACGCATCCGCTGTCCTGGGAAGAAGCCACCGTTGTCGAGAAGGCACCTTCTAGCGAGCTCCGGAGTCTGAGGAAGCCGGCCGTCTGCCACCTTCAGCCGCCCAGCAAGCTAGCGCCATCCGACGCGTATCCTTTTATATTCCATTCTAAAAGAGCATGAGCGTCTTTTTAAAGATGCCTCGTAATTCCTGCGGCTCATGCCGCTCTCCGCTCGAGGATGGAGACCGCCACCCCATCTGCGCTCTCTGTCTCGGAGTGGAACACGCAGAGCTCGCCCTCGCCAACGGAGGATGCGACCACTGCGAGGACCTGCCTCTGTCATCCCTGCGGGCTCGACTACAGGCGGTCAAAACCGCTCCAGCGCCGCCTCTCACTTCGCCGCGGAAGAAGAAACGCCGCTCCCAGAGGCCGCCGGAGCCCTCTGCGGATCCATGTGGGCCGCGCCGCCGCCCACCGACCGCTCTCCCTCTCCGCCCCTGCCGGACTTACAGTTGCCGCCGAGTGGCCGCTCTGTCGCCTCCGATGACACCGCGGATGAGAAGGACTCTTGTTCGCTGCACGCTTCTGACAGCTAGGAGTGGTCGTCGATCGGCTCATCGACGAGAGAGTCTGCGGGGACCCGCGCCGGCATCGAAGAGGAACTAACGCGCCTCCTTTCACAGGCCGTTAGCCGCCTGGGTCTCGAGTGGTCTCCTCCCCCTGAGCAACCACCGAACCGCATGGATGGGAAGTTCCTGCACCGGCGCCCGGCCCCAGCCTGCAGCCGGGCTGCACCATTCCTGCCTGAGTTACACAGCGAGCTCACGAAATCCTGGAATGCTCTCTTTCGGCTCGTAATCGCTCCGATGTGTCCGCTTCCTGCTGCGCTCAGTGGACGGAGCCGCCGAGAAGGTTATACTGCCATGCCGCCCGTCGAGGACTCGGTCGCCGCTCATCTCTGCCCGCCCTCTGCTAGATGGCGTTCTTCCCATACGCTTCCCTCTAAAGCGTGCAGAGCGACCTCAAACTTCCATGCCCGCGCCTATTCCGCCGCCGGTCCGGCCGCTTCAGCGCTGCATTCGATGTCTGTCCTCCAGGTGCTCCAGAGCGACATCTTGTGCGAAATGGCGAGCAGCGGGAGGCACCCGCCCGTCCTTTCGGATCTGAGGAGCGCTACGGATCTTTCCCTTCGCGCCACTAAAGCCGCCGCACAAGCCCTGGGAGATGCATGGCCGCCCTCTGTGTTCGCCGAGAGACACTTATGGCTCACGCTACCGACATGGGAGAGTCAGAACGCGCCGTGTTCCTCAACGCGCCTATTTCTCCTACCGGCTCTTCGGATCTGCCGTCACGGGCATCGTTGACCGCT